GTTTCAGTGACAGGTACTGATTCCTTGCATATCATTGAAATAGTGTTGTTCTGAATCTCCACGTCTGAATCAGGTGCTTCTCCTTTCCCAATTCTACAGATGGACTTGTAGAATGGACTGTCACCTACTAAAGGAGATGGGACGGAAAGATGCTAATAAGTCTTATTACAGATCCCAGGAGGAGTATAATAACTTGAGATCTTTTGTATAGTCTGGATTGAACAATTTCAAATGTTAAAAAAATATAAAAAATAAGAAAAAACATCTTCAACATTTAAAAAATTTTCTTTTATTTTTTTAATTCATAATACTGCTATTGTAGGGTTTCACGCATAAAACATTCCAGTACCATACATCACACTGTGGTTCCATTTCCTGCCATCATTGTTCCAATGTCAACCCCCCTTCATCTTTTTCATCCCTTACCACCTCACCATCATGGGTTTCCTACTGGAGACCAGTTCTCAGTTTCTGTTGGTCTTGGGCATTTGTTGTTCCCTTACAATATTTCTTTATATGAGATAGATTATTCTATATATGTCTTTCTCCTAATAACACTTACTATAAGATCCATCCACATGGCAAACAGTGAATTGAATGTTATATGAAGCCTCCCAAGACAATGCTCAAAGGCACAAGCCCCTTACTGCTAGGAAAAGACAACCATTGTTCTACAAAACAGAAGAGTCAAGTGTTGAGAAGACATCCCCCCACTCAGAGCAGTGAAAACAGGACTCATTTTCCTAGAGGTGATAAATAAGCCACCAAATCTCTCTTGGTTTTTGCACTCTTGATGGCATGATGAGAAGAGGTAAAGTACAAACATATAAGCACATGTCCTATTCATTCATGTCACTGAACACCAATGTCAGTTGTGATAAGTGCTTGTCTTTTCTTTTTTTAAATAAATGAATCACTGAGATACACTTACAGACTTATAAACTTTAGTGATTATGTTTCAGTCATACAATGATTGAGTACGGATTCCTCCACCAGCGCCCATTCTCCACCACCAAAGTTACCAATATCCCTCCTGACACCCCTATCCTATACTCCCCCTCCCCCACCTCTATGATGGGCACAATAACTTTTTCTCTCTCTCCTTTTGTGTGTTACGGTTTGTAATAAAGGTGCGAGTGGTCATCCTGTTTGTTCCATAGTCCACTTTCAGCACACATCTTCCAGCCTGAGAGAGCCCTCCAAGCATCATTCAATTAGGGGTCCCTTCTCCATCCCATCTGCCTTTGCCCCCAGCATGTGAGGCTGGCTTTTAAGCCCTGGAGTGAGCCTCCTGGTCCTTATCTCTACTATCCTTGGGTGTTAGTATCCCATGATGTTACTTTATATTACACAAATATGTGTAGTAATTCTGTTTGTTCCTCTCTTCTTTTGACTCATTTCACTTAGCATGATACTCTCCATGACGATCCACTTATATGCAAATTTCATGATTTCATCTTTTCTAACAGCTGCATAGTATTCTATTGTGTAGATCTACACAATGGAGGTTTATCTTTTTTGTTTCCTGAAAAAGAAAACTTAGAAACCTGAACCTTCTTCATGTTTGTTGTGGTTTATAATAATACTCATTATTATAATCTCATATAATACTATTCACTTTGACTATTCATTCTAATAGTCTTATTTAACACAGAAGAAGAAAGATTAAGGAGAATAAATGACTTGGGATCTGGGTAGGTGGATATAGGTTCTGATCCAGGATTCATGCCTAAGGAATTCCAGGTTTTCTGCCACCTCATTTAAAATGAGAGGAGCTTCCATCAAATGTTCCTACATAGGGAAGTTCCTGATGAAGAATGAGGGTTGTAGAGATTTTAGTTATCCACTATTTCATTATTCTCAGAAATATTATTGAGGGTGCTGGAACAGGGCTACCTGATTTTGGATGGTAGCAAGCTACCTGATTTTGGATGGGCCCTGACATCATTGGGCACCTGCTTTGAGGAGGGCAGAAGTAAGGCACAGGCTCCTTGCTTTCTGCCTTTCTTTTCTTCCCCTGGCTTGTTGCTAAATGTCAGAGTGCCACACACTGTTAACACAATTTTTTTAGAGGGGAATACACAAAAAATTGGAGAAGCATGGGTTCTCAAGACTCAGTTAATTTTTAGTTATTGTAGTTCATTTAAAACACATTTGTTATTATTTTTCTTACAAATTCAAAATCATGAACTCCCCCAAAATTTTAAAAATAAATATTCATAAATAATGATAAGTGCCACCATACTCTCAAATAAAAATAAATTTATACTGGAAATGATGGATCATTGAAGTGTTATTCTAAAAAAGTTATACAGATGTTGTTATCACAGCAAAGAAGTAAAGCAAACAATTTGATGATATGTAGTAAAGAAGAGATGAGTCCTCAAGAGAAGGTCCCATAAACATCCTTTTCTCAACAAGCTAAGGAAGATAGAATCTTCTTTCTTTATCATCAAATCCATTTGCATATTATCCATTGATTGTGCATCCAGGAGACAATATCTCTGTGCTTACCGACTGATTTCCATTTCCTCTGACACTTTTGCATCCAGGAAAATGAAAAGTGAAAATACTGTGAGGACAACCATTTGAAATACTTTCTCACTGCCAGATTATGAGTTTGCAGTGAGCAAGGGAAATGTCCTACCTGCTGGACTATCTCAATGGCCCCTGAATTTCTATCTTATCTTGGTGTACTCAAGTGGCTCCCAGTTTGAGGTTATGGATGTGACTTAGGACACAAACACAGCTGTGGCTTTGGAAATAAGCCTGATAAACTTACCTGCTTTGTCTTCTTCCTTTTAGTGGCAAGCTAACTTCTGTTGACAGAAGAGTCTATTGAGATTCACCTTCGTTTTGAACCCTCTCTTTTCCCACAGAAGGCTCCTCAGGAGTGGAATTTGTTGAGAAAGTGACTTATCAAGTTTCCCATGAGCATCTATGGTTTCGTGTTCAGAGACCTGCTGTGCAATGTCTTTGGTGTCATAAGCACTCTGGGGATGTGTCTCAACATTAGATCTGATTAAACCTCCATCTTAAGTCTGTGCATCTCCACCCCCATGTGGTGCACTTCCCTGTTCATAATTCCTGTGGATTCTCTCACTGACAACTGTGTGCCTGACAACAAAGCAATGTGAACTGAGTCTGTGAAGATTAGAAATAAAGTATACTTTGCTTATCTGAGACTCAAACTCTACTTGACAATTTTAAATTTTGTGTTATTATGATAAGTCCTTTCAGTTTCTAGTTTTCATATAAATCAACCCATCTAAAATCTACTGATCTCATTGACAGAACACCAACATCCTTTACTTGATGTTCCCTTCTCTATATGAGTAGCAGAAGTAGCAGTTCTATTCCTGTTTGCATCTAAATTATTTTTCTATGATTATTGATTTGAATAACATTTATATTTCTTTTTGTTTGTCTTTTGAACCAGAGAATCGTTTTTCTTCTCATATAAGATTTTAGGGTATGACAGGAAATTTAGAACTTTTCAGATTTGTAATAAAATTTAGTTGGGAAGTAGCAGTTTTCTTTCTTTTTTAGTGAATCATTGTGGGGTACAGTTACAAACTTACAAACTTTCGTGTTTGCATTATAGTCATACAATGATCATTTACCCATCCCTCCACCAGTGCCCATTCTCCCCCACCAATGTTCCCAGCATCCCTCCCACCACCCCCACCCAATCCTCTACCACCCCACCCCGCCTCAGCAGCAGGACATTCCCTTTTATTTTCTCTCAATTTGGGTGTTGTGGTTTGCAATAGAGGTACTGAGGACCATTGTATTCGGTCAATAGTCTACTTTAGGCATGCATCTTTCAACCTAAATGGGTCCTCCCAACATCCTTTACTTGTTGTTCCCTTCTCTATCTGCGCTGCAGAAGTAGCAATTTTATTCCCGTTTGCACCTAAATTCTTTTTCTATGATTATATTTCTTTTGTTTGTCATTTGAACCAGAGAATCATATTTCTTTGCATATAAGATTTTAGGATATGACTGAAAATTTCAAATTTTTAAGATTTGAAATAAAGTTTAGTTGCAAAAAATATGATAATGTTTTGATGAAAAATAAAATAACATGCAAAATAAAACAAGTATGGACAATTAGAGACAGTTCAAAGTCACAGTTTTTAATAACTTACTTAATTTAAATTTTTCACAATTTCATTTTTTCCACTAAAGAATAAAAGTGCAAAACATTTCTTTATCAGTTATACTGACAGTGTGGGTTAAGACATTTTCTCACATTTTTGAGAGAAGTAAACTTTAACAGAATCAGCAAGTAGGGTCATTTAAAATAAGTATTAAGACATAAATGAGTATAAATATGTATACTATAAATGCATAAGTATATATGTATAAAATGTATATGTATTAATACATGCAAAATGTATTAATATAAAGACATAACAAGAAATGTAAAATAGGAAAACTTTATTTGATGTTGAATGCACATTTTTTTCTCTTTATTTAGTTTCTATTAGTTTTAGCCTATGTTTTCTTAGCTGTACGGGAATGTTTGAGATTGATGAGGTCCAATTTGTTTATTTTTGTTTCTATTGTATTGAGTAGTAATTTATAAGAATTAGTATTTGGTGCAAGCAAAAAACTCATAGAGAAATAGTAAATCCAGATCATTTGGCAGCACACAGCAGATATATAAAACAGATATAGAACCACCCCTCTCTGGAAAATGCACTGGAATTTTTTCCTAGAGTTTCACATGCAACTTCATATTATCCAGATTTATCGTCTGATTATTATGTATGAGAAATACAAATATGCCTGAAAACACTCAATGATTAATGTTAATAGCAAATTTATTCTGTGTGACACTATACAAAAATACAAGAGTAGCATTTTTGCCTATAAATATAGAGCATGAAAATAAATGGTGGTTCAGTTATAATATTCAGCTTTAACAAGTGAGAATGCGATATCTGAAATGCAGTGAAAAAATTTCTGAAAACCAGTTTTACATTTTGATTGTGTTAGGTCACATGAGAATTTCCTGACATCTCAATATTCTCCTGAGGAGGGCTGCCTTGATTTCCATCCTCCTCAGGAACATCCTGGAGAGCTCTCTGCAGAATTAATTTGAAGCTCCTTTTTTGCTGTCTTTGGTGGTGTCTATAAGAACCAACAAAGAAGTAAATGATGGGATTGGCACAGCTGTTGACACAAGCCAACACTGTAGTTGGGATTAAGAGTTTCGTAGTAGAAATAATTGACATCCAACATAAGAGAAAATTATAGATTCCCCAGGGCAGTCCACAGAGGAGAAAGACCAGCACTGTGAGCCCGATGGTCACATACAACCTGGTCAGTTTCAGCTTCCGGGAGCCACACAACAATCTGGTCAGCAGCACCAGGTTGGACCCAAACAGAAGCCCAAAGGAGAAAATCAGCCATGTGGCAATGATGAAATCTATTAGCTTACCCAAAGAGCTATCATGTTCTCTAAACAATAAGCCTCTGAACTCCATTCTCAGGATGATCAGGAGCAGGGACAGGACCCAGATCAGAGCACAGATGACAGATGACATGTGTTTTGGGCGGTGGCAACGATACCAGATGGGCTTTAGGACAGACAGGCAGCGCTCAGTGCTAATGGCAGTAAGAATGCTCAGGCCTACAACATAGGGAAAGACAAAAGTTATTAAAAAAACCGGGAACAGTTTAGAGAAATCTACTTTGAAAGCTCTGACAAAACTCATTATGGAGGATACTACGTGGGTGGATAGACATCCAAAATCAGCTACTGCCAAGTTGAGGATGTAGACGGAGAAAGCATTCCTCTTCATGCAGAAACCCAGAAGCCAGAGCACTACAGCATTTCCTGCCAGCCCCACCAGAGTAATGATGAATTTCAGAAGGTTTGAGATCAGCAAAGCCATGTAAGATACTCTTGATAAATCCACTGAGTCACTTGCATTCTGCAGTGTGCTCTCCCAGGCTGTGACAGTTACATTCATGCTCAGATACTCTGCTGGTGTTTCTGGAAACAGAAATGAGAAAGACTTTTCAGTATGATCATTGATTCTCATGGCCATACAGGTGTCTGAGACAAGAACAGAAGCAACTAAGATGTTTCAAGCAGACCTCACAATGTTGCCATTCTATGTTTGGATTCTGCCTGACTTTTCTGATTAAAGCCTGGGATTTATCTACTGAATCAGAACTTTTCATAAACATGAAATGTTCTCAGATCTTGATTTTCCCACTAGTTTCTTAGGCTATGTCCCATTGCACAGTGTCTGGAGGGGAGTTTTCTGGGCAGGATATAAGGGCGCCAGTGGGAAACTGAGGACACTGCTCTGGGCCTTCTGTTCTTCAGAGGCACAAACTATGTGATAAGTCAGTGACTGAGAATGTCCCACTGAAAGGCAAAGAGAACACAGGGATTTGAAGGAATATTGCCTAGGAGAGCCTGGTATTCTAGGGCCCATATATCAGTTCTCTGAAAAGAGCGAGGTCTTACTCATGTTCATTAGTGTGTCCCAATTCCAAACATTTGTTAGGGTCACAATGGGTCATTTTTCATTTCATTTCATCATCCTGTTAATCGTCGATTGCCTTGAGCAGGCCCCAGTAACGTCTCTTTCATCCTAGCCCTGAGATTATATTCACGGCTCTTTAGGAGAATGAGACCCATCATTGTTACTGGTATTTGGCATATTTGGTAGGCCACGGGGAGTTTGCCAGACTCTGCCCTGTGGGCAGGCTACATTCGATAGCCTGCAAGTTTGTCCAAAGTAGGAATGAGATAATAAGATGTCATAATAAGATGTCGCGGCCGCGCGGTTCCGGGATCTGGATTTTATAGTCTCTGAGTCTTGGCCGCTGATGGGATTACACGGCGCCAGGGGGCCAGGTGGTGGGTGTGACCCCCGCCTACTGGAATTTGGAGGATCTGGGTGGAAGATGCTCGACTCCAATTCGAGTAGGCTTGGAGGTCTCGGCCCCGGAACCTGCGTGGCTTTGTCCCTCTGCCAGTACCTTCATGTGTGCGGAGAGTGGTCTCGGCATGGTGGTGGCTGGTCCTGGAGGTCTTCGGCTGCCGTAGCCCTGGTCGGGGCGGGGAGGAAATCTCAACCCGCTCCCCTCCAAGGGACTCCGGGAAGGAACACCCAGGCGCGGGGGCAGAGACTGCACTGTTCTCGTCCGGTCATTAGAATATTGATAACAAATTAGTGATGGATGGTTGGAAGTAACCAGAAGTTTTCGTGTAACTGAGGATAGGTAATATAGAGAAGAGGCCCCTTTAACAATAATAGCTGGAAATGATCATGGTGGACAAGATTGGCAAGACTGGATAGTTAAAAATAGGTAAAGAATATTCTTGATAACCTTTCAGCGTCAATATTGCAAACCAAATGCCAAAAAGGAGAGACAGAGAGAGAGAGGGAGAGAGGAAAAGAGAGAGAGAGAGAAAGAGAGAGAAGAGCCTGCCATTGTGGCAGGATGTGGACTAGAAGGGTGGGGAGGGGGTATGAAGGAAACTGGAGCCATTGGTGGTAGGAAAAGTACACTGGTGAAGGGATGGGTGTTGTAATACTGTATGACTGAAATCTAATCATGAATGACTTTGTAGTGCTCTAAAAATTAATTTAAAAAAAGGTGGAAAAGAAACAAAAGAAAATAAAACAAAAAAAACAATAAATAAAGAATAATCTTATATTTTTTTGGAAAGCTTTTGTGCCTGAGAGTATTCATTAAACATGCACAATGACTAGTTCTGTCTTCCATGAGCTTAGAAAATAAGAGAATCTAGTAGGCACTTGGATAATAATAATAAAGGCTATTGTTTATCATGAAAATAAAAGCTCAATGAAATTTTAATATTTTATTATGGAAAAAGGCATGCACACAATGGAGAGAGTAGGCAGTGAGGTTGAATTAGAGACTTCATTATTTATTAATGAAGCTACATATGAAAGTAAAGAAAATTAATATTTGCAGTATTTTAGTATACATTTCTACAGAGGATGTTTTGGATAGCCGGTTAGGATATTAATTTTTATTTTGTTTTATGTTTGTGGCATACCTGGTGTTTCTCAGGGGTGATTCTTGGCTATGTATACAGAAATTACTCCTGGACATGTTCCGGGGCCCATATGGGATGCTGGGCATGGAACTTAGGCCGACCGCATGCAAAGCAAATGCCCAACTGCTGTACTATTACTGCTCCCCATGGAGATTGGTGATGGGTAAGGTGCCTTTTACTGGAATGACTTGCAATTTAGTACAAATGCTCATTTCAACTTCAATTGGGAATAGTTGGCAAATCAAAGTGAAGAACTGCTGATTTAGTGTTATTCAAGATGAAACCTCTCTCTGGGTCTTTGTAGGAAAAAATTGAGAAACAGACAAAACTGGTGACTGAGAAGCTGACAGGAGAGCTGAGTAGAGGGCCTTTTTGCTGATGGGATGACACTGAAATACAGCAGGTGGGTGTGGTTACTGAGTTACATATGCAAGGTATAAAATAAACCCTTAAACTTCATATCTAAGTAATTGAAATCATTCAAAAATAATGTAAAAAATAATGCTAAGTAAATAGTAAGTACTATCATCATTTCTATATAGAGTAAAGAAAATGGAAGCACTCAGGTTTTGAGTGGTAGGTACCTGATTGCATGCATGCAATTGGTATAGTGTGTTCTGAATATCTAGGTCTGATTCAGTTGTTTTTTCTTCAACAACTCTATAGTTCCAATTATAGAATGGAATGGCACCTACTTAAAGAGAAGGGAGAAAAAGATGCTAGTAACTCTTCTACAGATCCCAGGAAGAATATGTTGCTTTGGTATTTTTTGTATAGCCTGGATTAAGAAATTTTGAATGTTAAAGATATTTTGTAAAAAATAAGGAGAAAGTGTTTAACATTTAAAATCATTTTTTAAAAAAGTATTCTTGTTTGATAAGAACGTTACTGTCAGTTTTTGTGGATGAAAAATTCCAGCACCCAGGGTGGAATGGGGGGGATGGGGGGGGTGGGAGGGATACTGGGACCCGTGATGGTGGAAAACGGTCACTGGTGTAGGGATGGGTATTTGATCATTGTATAATTGAAACCCAAGTGCAAAAATTTGTAAGTCTACAACATGGTGTTTCACTAATAAAAATTAAAAAAAAAAATTCCAGCACCACCCATGCGCTGTGGTTTCACTTCCCTCCATCATTTGCCCAGTTTCCAAACCCCGCCATCTTTTTCCTTTCTTATCTCCTCAGCTTCATACATTTTTGTACTGAAGTCCAGTTCTCAGTTTCTGTTGGTGTTTTTCCTAAATAAAATTACAATAAGATCCGCCCACATAACAAGCAAGGAATTGGATGGTATTTGATGTCTCCCAAGAACAATGCTCACAGTACCTTGCTACTTGGAAAAGACAACCTTTGTTCTACCAAGCAGAAGACTCAAATGGTAGAAGGACACTCTTCCACCCTACACCCATAGATAGCACTGTAGCACCGTCCTCCTGTTGTTCAATGATTTACTTGAGCAGGCACCAGTAACAGCTTCATTGTGAGACATGTTGTTACTGTGTTTGGCATATCTAACATGCCATGGATAGCTTGCCAGGCAAATACTCTTGGTAGCTTGCCAGGCTTTCTGAGAGGAATGGAGGAATTGAACCCAGGTTGGCTGCGTGCAAGACAAACACCCTATCCACTGTGCTATCGCTCCCGCCCAAGTCCATTATTATGACGAATACACTTTAGTTCATGAAATAAAATAGTTGGACAAAATGAAGTAGAAGTCAAACCAGTGGGCTGTGGTGCAGGCCTGCCAGCTCGCAGGCTTGGTGCAGGCAGGAAGCAGAGGCGGCATTCGATGGACCGGGAGTCCCCAGGCTCTTCTGGGACGCTGGGCCAAGGATGGGTGATAGGCCGACTTCCTGGTGTTGTCCAATCTCTACCTTTACGGCGCAGTTGTAGTCAGCGTTAGGGCCGTAATGTCAGTTATCAGAGTTCCATCATCCTAGTCTCCTTGTGGACCTCAAAGTCTCCAAAGTTTCAGTTTTCCTCCTCATCTTCTTGTTGTCGTCTCTAAGTTGTGCTCTGCTTCTATGTGTGCCATTGTGGCTCTTTTCTTAAATCCTCTGTCCTCATTCCGTGCTGTTGTAATCTGTCTTATAAATTTTCTGTTTACTTTTCGTATTGTTGTCTTCTCCTTCAGTATTTTTCTTTCTCTGTGTGTCTCTCTCTGTCTCTCTCTTCTGCCTCTCTGTCTCTCTTTCTGTCTTGTGGTCTCCAGTCTGCTGCTCTTGTGTTCTCTTTTCTCATTCCGACCTCTTCTAACCCTGTGACCCTGTAACCTTGTAAATTCCTGATGACAACCTTCTGACCCTGGTGTTCTAACCGTCGTCTAATCTCACCTAACTATCTGACTCACTTCTCACTTCTGTTCTTTTTTTCACTGACGCTGTGAGGCGTGGGTAAGGGGCGTGTGTGTGTGGGGAAGCCCCAAGGGGCTCTTGCTTCTAGCGCCAAGTGCCCAACCACACTGATTGGGCACGACCCGCTCTGGGGACAGTGCCAAGTGAGAAGTTTGACTGGGGTTTGACACGTGTCAAACGGTAACGCAGGTGTCCTAAGGCGAGCTCAGGGAGGACAGAAACCTCCCTTGGAGCAGAAGGGCAAAAACTCGCTTGATCTTGATTTTCCGAGATATGATGAATAAACCATCAAATATGTCTTGGTTCTTGCAGTCTTGGTGGACAGACGAGAAGAGATAAAGTACAAACATATTTCCATCCATCAGGGCACATGTACTAATAATCATTCATGTCACTGAACACAAATGTCAGTTGTAATGAGTGCTTATCTTATTTGCCTTTTGACAAAAACCTTAGAAACCTGAACCTTCTTTGTGTTTGTTGTGGCTTATAATAATGCTCATTGTTATAATCTCCTCATGTAGCACTATTCTCTTTGACTGCTTATTATAATAGCCTTACTAACACAGAAGAAGACCAGTTATGGAGAATAAATGTACTGGCATCTGGGTAGGTCAACATAGACCCTGATCTAGGACCCACTT